TTTTTCTTACCATCTTCTCTCTTGATTGTAGATTTTTCTTCCTACTAGAGAAAAATATTCGGCTGATAACATGCCTTAGTTGCTTAAATATCATTAAATAATTGTGAGCAGGACAGAGAGAGGTGACGTTGATCCAGAACAGTAAGGCAAAAGAAAGAGTAGATACCATCGAGATCGAAAAAAATCAAGGAGAGAAAAAAAGTTTATGAGAAAGATAGGAGTGACATTTTATCGTTATTAGACTTGGAAAAAGTAAAGTGAAGTTGAGTTACTTTACTTTATCAGGTAAAGTAATGATAAAGTGCTACCCCTAAGAAAGATTCCTTATGTTAGAGAGTAAAAATATGATGAGTCAGAAACTCCGAGTGAAGCACGTGTTAGCGATGCAGCACAATGCAACATAATCATCATTATATTGCTGTCAGCTAACACAGTATTGTTTGAATTCAACGTACGATTTTACCCAGGAAATCACGAATCATCATCTGCAAGAGACTTACACTTTTCTAGTCTTGCAATGAACATCTCTGATTTTCATGGAATTTGTTTGAGAGTGTGAGTATGAGTGTGGATGGATGCGGATGCTGTTTCCTCCACACACCTGTCCACACCTACACTCGCACCCTCTGAAGCATAAATAGTATTTTGTTTAATAGGATGATGCTAATGGTAAAAATGAACTTTTTTAACATATTCTTTTTACACAATAGTTGATACCTGTCTCATTATTTTTATCAATACTTTCAGAAAACAAATCGTGAATAAATTTTAAAAATCACGCAGAAATAGATCCATTTGATGATCATATTCTCAATAAATCACAAGTTTAACAATTCTATAGATTGTTTTCTATTTATTTTAATGTTTTTTTTTTTCGGTTGAAAATATATCATTTCTAACATAGGTGTTTATTGCAATAGTCACAATAGGATGATTTTTTTAACCTTTCATAATTTATCAGAATATGTTATTATAAAAAAAAACATTAGAGAAATGTTGCCTTTGTTGTGGATAATGTGATTAAAAGAACTCGTCGACAAATGCACGAACAAACTATCATTTACATTCTCTTTCATAAAATCATGATCTTTCAGTACAAAACTATGATTTATCTTATTCAAATTTCATCCAATCAAATGATACATCATTGTACAAATCATATATCGATCATTTTTAGTACAGACACGATTATTCAACGATAGAATAATGTTATACTCTTCGATCTATCGTACTATTAAAAGAAAACGAGAAGCTTGTTTTTCTTCTTCATTTGCTTACAATTGATAATACAGGTATGTAACTGTACAAAGACAAGATTTATATTGAAGACACAAGAGTAATAAGAAAAGATTTCATAAGTAATAAATCGAATTCGAGTCTATTAAAAAACAAAAAACTAACTTATTTTCTTATTTGCTATGCTTTCTAGCAATTTAGTTATATGCGGATGAGATTCAATTTTTGTATAAATAACTGAACAGATTTATTACATCGTTTTATGTTAAACTATGTTATTTTGCTTGATAAAATTTTTGGGTAAAAATAAACCATAGTTTAATGAACGTTTTTTAATATTTTAGAATTAAATAATTAACTAATTTTTATTTTCGAAATCAATAGAAAACTAATTTACTCAATTACCTTTTCTAAATGAACTGGAAATTTATTCGAACCATTGTTCTTTTTTCTCCCCTCCTACTATTTTTCTATGACGAAGAAGAAATTTGTCTATATTTACCTTTCTCATTAGTAATATGTGTTGATAATTCTTAATGACAACATCAGACATGTGTATATGTTTAAAACGAAGGATGAGCATAAGCAGACATCCTCTGTTTTTTTTTCTCCTCGGTGAAAGAACAACAAAAAACGGCGTGACACTACATGTGATCGAAGAAAGAGAATCAACGAAATTTTTTTTTTTTTTTATGCATCGAACAGAAAACAAAAATAATGCCAAGAAAAAAAAGTCAAAATATTATTACAGTACCACGTGTTGATATTGTATTACTTATTGTTGGTACAAGAGGTGATGTTCAACCATTCGTTGCGTGAGTCATTATATCCATGAATTAATCGAAACGAACAAAATAATATTCTTTCTTTTTTTTATTTTTTAAGACTTGGCCGTGTACTTTTAGCAGCTGGTCATCGTGTTCGATTAGCTACACATGAAACATTTCGTAAATTTGTTCGTGGAAATGGTCTAGAATTTTTTCCATTAGCTGGTAATCCAGCTGATTTAATGTCATTTGTGGTAAAAAATTCAGGTATTATTCCTTCAATAAGTAGTATTGCTGCAGGTGATCTCATAAAACATCGTCATGTTATAACTGATATTCTTACATCAACATGGCATGCTTGTACTGTTGAAGATGATGAAACAGGTAAACCATTTACAGCTGAAGCTATTATTGCTAATCCACCATCATTTGGTCATATACATTGTGCACACAAATTACAAATACCTCTACATATTATGTTTACAATGCCATGGTCACCAACAACTGCTTTTCCACATCCATTTTTTACAGTTGATTATTCGAAAGCATCTGTAGAAAAAGTTAATATGTTGTCTTATAGTGCTGTCGAAATGTTTGTAAGAAAAATGAAAAGCATATTAAAATATGATTTTGTTTTACTTTTTTTTTTTAATAGGCTTGGTCGAGTATGCGTGATATTGTGAATGAATTTCGTAATGACACATTAGGTTTACCATCATTACATACACGTCAAGCAACATATATGATGATTGATGAACGTGTACCTTTTACGTACTGTTGGTCACCTTCATTTGTTCCTAAACCAAATGATTGGGCATCATATATTAATGTTTCAGGATTTTTCTTTCTTGATCATGATGCTACGACTGATACAAAAATACCTGATGGTTTAGTTAAATTTCTTGGTCTTAGTAATCATTATCGAAATGAATCATTATCACCAGTAATCTATATTGGTTTCGGTTCAATTACAGGATATGATTCTGATCGTATTCTTTATATTATACTCGAAGCACTTGAGAAAACTGGCTATCGTGCCGTATTATCTGGTCTTGCTAAAGATAATGATAAATTACCGAAAAATGTCTTCAAAATTGATAATATTTCACATGATTGGCTTTTTCAACATGGTGAGTTAAATAGTAAACTTTCGTGAAATACGATTCATAAGACATGTTGAAGCATAGAAGTAGAAATTTAGACTTGGGCCATAAATCGTGACCAACACTAGCTAGAAGTGAATAAATATGTCCAAAAAAAAACAGATCGAATAACGCCATCCCATCGTGTTTCACATTTAAATTTTATAGGAATTGTGTTAATCAGCTTTTCATTTTTAGTATCAGCTGTATGTCATCATGGTGGAGCAGGTACAACTGCTGCTGGTCTTCGTGCTGGTAAACCAACTATTATTGTACCATTTTTTGGTGATCAATTCTTTTGGGGTAATGCTATTGAAAAGAATGGTGCTGGTCCTCGTGCATTACCAGGAAAAAATTTAACTGCTGATGATTTAGCTGAAGCTTTTAAATTTGTTCATCAACCAAAAGTTCGAGCTGCTGCTGAACGTATACGTGATGCTATATTAAAAGAAAATGGATGTGAAGAAGCATTACGTGCATTTCATACTCATTTACCTACATCACGAATGCGAAGTGATCTTGAATCAACTTATACTGCATGTTATACATTAAATGAATTTCATTTACAGATATCACGACATGTCGCTCAAGTACTTGTTATATCAGGTCGTATTAAAGCAACACAATTACATCTGCATTCAACTCGTTATTGGCCTTCAATGTTTGATAATCGTATTCATCCACCATTTCATGGTATTATAAAACATTCTCAAAAAGCTATTGTACAGATATTTTCTGATACAACCACTGGTTTTAAACAAGCTATGCATTCTCATACTTGGACAAAGAGTACATATAATGTTGTCGAAAGTGTTCTTTTGGGTTTGATCAACGGTATTGGTCATCTATGTATAGGTTGTTTATCTTTGTATGGAGAATTGACTGATGTATTGAATGCTGTTCCATCATATTATGATCCTTATAAGTAAGTTTATTTATTTTATATAATGAATAAAAATAAATCTTATCAATTTAATTTCATGTAAATATCAGAAATGATAATAAGAATGTATTCATTTTTTAGTGAATCGTCATATCATTCACGACCATATGTGATTGATTTCGATACAGGTATTAATGCAGCTATGTGTGCTTTTATTGATGGTTGGAAAGATGGTATGATGGATGTTGTTACTAAACCACGTATTGGTTATGAACGTCATGGAAAATTAGGTGGTGTAGCTGGATTATTAATTGGTGTTGTTAATAGTTTATTCAAACCTGTTGTTGGAACTCTTTCATCGTTGACATGGTTTTGTCGTGGTATTTATGCTAATATAAATAATGAAAGATTAGTTGATAAAGGACTTGAAACATATACAGTTAATACACTTGGTCTTGGTTCATTACCATCAACTATTACTCAGGAAGAACTAAAACAACATTACAATAATAATATGAAACAAACTGTTAAAACTGCATCGATTGTATCAGGTTTTTCACCTGATGTGTGCCAACAGATTATAAATGATTTTGATAATATTAAAAAACAATATGTTGATGATCGTTTACATAAGTATAAGTTACGAAGATCAGATGATGATTACTTCTAATTTTATATATTGACTTTTATACTCGCAACTACAGTTCATTATATTTATTTTGCTTTCATATTTTTTTTTTCTTTCATTAAAACAAATCAAATATTCATGATCTAATTTTTCTGTAAAGTAAATATATAAAAATAAAAAAAGAAAAAACGTTTATTGTTTTACAATCAATGCATTTGGCTATACACATTCTTCCTATATATATGCTTCTAATGTATTATTATTATTTAACGTATCACCTAAAATTGATGTGAATTTGTTGAATTGTAAAGAAATGAAATTACGTTGTTTTGTTATAATAGCTTGTTTAACTAAGATCTTCATGTCTTAATCAACTAAATCCATATCATTTAAACATATTGAGGAATGAATGTAAGATTGCAATTTTTTATTCAAATGTGATATTGTGAAAGTTCTGAAACACAAAAAGAAAAAAAATAAATATAAAATTTTTGTGTCTTCTAGCGATTTGTTTTCTATCTATAACAGGTTCAAAAAGTACAATCGTATGTTCATTTGTTGTTACCCATAAATGAACAATGATAAATCCATCAATAGTCTAATCAATTGTACATTGAACTTAAATATTAATATGTACATAAACGCTAAAAAAAATTAATTAACTATAAGCTGCAGTAGTTGTAAAAAATCGATCGTCAAAAGAGTCTTCTAAAGTACCTATTGCTTGGTGTATTCAAGAAGAGTCCTCTATTATGTGAGGGAGAGGTCTTATAATGTGTCGTGGACTCTATAGAATAACGACAGCAATGTTTTTACGTGTTAACAAACGTTTCAATCATTAACCTGCGTAAACAAATGATAAATGAGTATTTGCAAACACGTGTAAACGTAATTTTCGTCGTTCTTTAATTTGCTGGGTATTAGAAAAAAAGAGAGAAAGAATAGAGCACGTCAACATGTATGCAGTCAAGCGTGTTCCTCGTTTGAGTGTGATCACACATTGCCTATCATTTTACCTTACCTTCTCAGCGTCGACTTTACGAATGTTGCAAAAAATTCGATCTATTCTAAAGCGATCGCAATCACAAGATCAATCTGAAGAAGCCGTCACAGAAGCAGAGCGTCCTTGTGTTTTGGGCAACTTATTTTCTGCATCAGATATCAATGACGAACAAGCATATGATTATGAGGAAAATATTAAAATTATCTGGCTGGTGACCAATGTGCAAAATATTGACGAACACTCACTTATGAAGTCGCTTCGCTCTATCAATAATAATATCCAGGTGATGTTAGATTAAAAGAATTAGGAGAAGCTAAAATGAAAAACAAACAAACTTCTGAAACATCATTTTCAGTCATATCTTCATTTTCGAAAATTGGCTTTCAAATTTGTTCCACTTTTCTAAGAACTAAAGAGCTGCATTGGAGTTGGAGTGATTGAGAAAACTTTTTTGGAGCTAATATCACAGTATCACCAGTAGAATAATCTAGCTTTTACTCTTACAAGATAACGAACAAAACATACATAAAATATCGTACTTTTTAGCTTTATAAGCAATTTTTCAGAGAAAAAAAAACATTAAAGAGATATTCATATAATCAAATAGTAGAAGAAAAGTCAATAGAATAGCTTAGGTATTGCTGAACTATAACAAAAAATTTTTCGAACTGAAATTGGAGTCGAGTTTTGAAGTAAAAAAAAACTTGACTTGCCAATTCTCTATTAAGAACTTAGAAAAAATACGGTAATAACATAAACACCTCATCATGTGAACAATAAAAGAAGTTTAATGTTATACTTCTTGAGGGTTTTGTCGTGAAAAGATTTAGTAAACTATTTCTCTGGTAAAGCTTTTCCATATACAAGCCATAGAGTGTTTCGCTGTTTATACAATTTTTTATAAAATCTTCAAAAATTCATGCCGATATCGTAAGTCCTTCAAAGGTATATGAATCCAAATGTTCATAACTGCAAGAATATATAAACATCAGATACCTTATCGATCACTACATAAGGATAGATTGCTCTAGAGTTTTAGTAAAAGGATCGATTGTTTTACTCATAAGCAAGGATATCGGCTTAGCATCAATATTGTATTAATCAATACTGATTCTAATACTAATGCTAAGCCAGTACCTCTGCTCATGAGAAAATATTTTTGACAAGTATTTTCTTTAATACTCGTTGAGAAGGAATGTAATCCTCATATCTTATGCCAATCTTTAAGGATCATTCGAAGCAGTTTATCAGAAGAGAATGAATGTTTATTCAAATCAAAGGCGCACAATTATTTATGCAGATATTTGATCGCTCGGAAAATAGCTCAGCATATAAATAGACAGATTTTCTTCGAGGATTTTGAAAGTAAGCAAAATCTGAGACCTAATAGATTATTCAATAGGGTTGATATTTTCTTGTTAATTTATTTTAAATTTAAATTGATCACTCCTATTACTCAATTAGCATGAGTATTATTTTTATGTATATTTCATTGAGTAATACTTGTCGATATGTTAGAATCATCAATTTTGCAAAGAGTATCATAATTGAATAAATTATTTAGTAGTAATGACTATTTTTTTCGTAGAAATTTATTAATTCTATCGATCATATATTATTATTTTGTCTTGAATTTCTATAAAAGTCTATACATCAAGAAATTATTTAATGAACATTTGAAACTTGTATTCTTGTGTTCAACGAGTTATACAGCGTGTCCAGAAAGTAACAAAACAAAGAAAAGTTTGAACACATATTTCTGTCATATTTTGACCACTGATAAAGGAGTAGGCATAGCTCATATTCATAAGAGAAACATTGTCAAAAATTTTTTTCAGGTAGTATAACTAACTTCAATGAGAAACTATAATATTTCTTCAATTATAAAAAAACCAATATATTTATTCCCTTAGCCGAGAATAAACGACATGTAGTTTTTTCGATTACTTCTCCACACTAGTGTTATTTTGTCTCATAGTTATACTCTCGACGGCTGAGGATGCCAATATATCTCTATTCACAGGTCCACACATTTCGATTAGAATAGTCGGACATTTCATATTTGAAAGATTATTTCAGTAATAGAATTCAACTTTCAAGTATTAATTACATAACTATAGAAGTCTGTGTAGCGAACAGTTATTCACGAAGAGCAAGCATTCGAGGAACAAATGTTCTTGACTTATGTATATATAATATAACAACTTTAGAGCAATTTTGACACTATACAAATAGAAACCAAAACTAGTCACCTTTTTCAGTGACTAATTACAGATATCCTTTATTTAACATCCCACAATGACGAGAAAAGTTTTTCCTTGTAATCAGCTCTGCGTTAACAACTTCGTTTTGAACATTCGAGTAATTATTAAGCTTCTTTCTTTCATAATTATACTAGAAATAATAAATCTTGCTTTTTTCATGCATGTTAACAGAAAAATTGTGTTTTTTATCGTTTGTTCGTAGATAGTGATGCTTTACTTTTCGTGCTTCTTGATAAATGGAATCAATTTTTCTGCGTAATTCACTCAGAAATTGCAATAGTTTACTTGTAATTGTCTTCAATAGAGTAAATCGAGTTTTATCATTATTTCTAGGTAAAGTCTCTTTCTTCTCTAATAAAGACAGTCATTCGTTTCACATAATTCAATTCTAGATAATGACCCTTTATTCTTCACCAAATTCGATTTAAAACATCATTTTTCTTTCTATCGTTAAGTTATAGACATTGATCTTTTATATTGCATCCATTCTAATTACCTATTTTCTTGATTTGGGTAATGTCATAAAAAAAAAAATGTTTTTGGCATTTCGGCTGAAAACACTTGTTAAAAGTGAGTAGAAGCGAAATTCAAAAGATAGATTGTAATGAAAAGTGTCAGATATTTTCCTCAGAGAACATGTTGACACTAACGATACTTATAAATTCGGAGGGTTTGATATTTGAAACTGAAATTCTAATCATTGTAAAATCTTTCAATCTTGTAAGTGTCAACTCATATGGATGTCCATTTCGGCAATCTACGCTGCATGGATACTTTCAATGAGGCATAGGAGATATGAGGGTAAAAATAAATCGAATATAAATCAGTGAGATTTTTCTTAGCTCTGTCGACATTTTAATATTACTTGAAAGACAAACTAAATGAACAAATATACCAGAAGATACAGCAAAATTTTTCTGAGCATGTCATCAATTAAATGATTTTATTTTCATATACACACACACATTCATTACCCAAAGACTATTGGTCGTACTCGACTGATTTTAAAAAAAGAAAGCATATTCCGCACCAATATACAACATCTAGATGAAAGCCTATCCCATATTAAAGGCATTGAAGATTGTATTATATATTTGTGTCATATCTAATAAAGTTCAAAGAAATTTTTCTTATATTATGGATTGAACTGCGCTATAAAGATATATCAATTTCGACTTCGGTACGATGAAGAAAAGTGAAACAGTACGTGTGAAGATTCTTCATATCAAAATTGTTTTGCATATCAAAACATGTTGTGTGAGACTTTTTTCGAACGCAAAAACAAAAAGGTTTTCTTGACTTTCTACAATTAGATCTTAAAACTTCTTTATAGCAAGAATTAACATCCTAAGAAACCTTTGTGATTGATTAAAAATTTTCTAACAAAAGTTGCTACTGAAATGCTCACACGATGTAATATTGTGTTTTTTTGCTTTATTTCTAAGGTCTGTCACAGCGAAACGGACATGTTGGCTTACTTGGAGTCCGTCGTCAATGAAAAAGTTTTCCTCATTGTTCATTGTGTTACTGATACCTTACTCACTGCCATTGAACCTTTCGAACAAATTGATACAATCTTTCTTTTTACGCCAGAAGCACCTGCTGAAGTTCCATCAAACGTCACAGTATGGTGTTCAACTGAATCGTTTCTCGTCAACAAATTAAAACAAGCGCATAAAGAACTTATAAAGCGGAAAGCTGTTGTTTCTTTTTTTAACCAAGAACATAAGAGGATGCGCGATCTGAACCATGAAAAAGGCTCTTTTCTCTTGTTC